CAGTTACCAAAGGGAAAGGGATTGGGGAGGACGGGTGGGAAGGGAGGGATAAGGGTGGGAAAAAGAAAGGGGGCATTACAATTAGCATGTATAATGTGGAGGGGGTACGGGGTGGGCTCTACAACACAGAGAAGACAAGTAGTTATTTTACAGCATCTTACTACTCTGATGGACAGTGACTGTGAAGAGGTGTGTGGGAGGGACTTGGTGAAGGGGGGAGCCTAGTAAACATGTTCTTTCTGTAATTGTAGATTAATGATACCAAAATAAAATAATAAAAAGAAATAAATAAAAAGAAAGGAGGCATTACGATTAGCATGTATAATGTGGAGTGAGGCACAGGGAGGGCTGTGCAACACAGAGAAGACAAGTGGTGATTCTACAGCATCTTACTACGCTGATGGACCGTGACTGTAATGGCAGTTGTTGGGGGGACTTGGTGAAGGGGGGAACCTAGTAAACATGATGTTCCTCATGTAATTGTAGATTAATGATACCAAAATAAAAATAAAAAATAAAAAAAAGATTTCTATGAAAACCAATAAAATCCTTTTAAACTGAAAAAAAAAAAGAAAAAAAAGATAGCTTGTTATTTCTAGTCAAAGATCTAACCTGGATATGATCTCTTCCGCCTCCTTCTGATAGTGCAGCAAGAGCTGATCCCAAGTGTGACGTTCTAAAGAAAATCTATAGAACAGAATCAGAAAAAAAAATTCAGTTTATTTTGATCATCTCATTCTGAATTACTTAGTGCAATAATAAGTATATTAGGTATCTACTTGAGTTCTAAAATGTGAATGAAAAAGTCATTAAAGGATTGGAAAGCATGACTGATTCAGAGAATATTAAATAATCAATTATTTTCCTAAAACTGTAGTTTTATTATTCACCCTCTGAGCTGTTACACAAGAGCAAGTGGGGTGTGGATGAGCTGATAGCAAGCACTTGTCATGGGGTAAGTATCAAGCTCACACTGGACCCAAGGCTGTCTACCAGATTGGAGAAACGAATGAGTTTGGAGATATTTGTCATTTTATCTGGAACAATCTGCAGGGAAGCCCTGCTGCCATGTCTTGCTTGGACTAGGCCTTGACTTTCACCTCCAGTGTCTACGATGCTATGGGTATCCAGATTGTTGGCCCCAACAGTTCTGTGCTGAAAAGAAAGTACTTCCCAGATGTCACTGACAGTGTAAGAGCTAAAGGAAAGATTACATGTTTATGGAAGCCAGGTGGACCCTGTGGCAGGCTGTAAGGTGCTGCCAATATCCAGATGAACACCTGGGGGGTTGTCTGATGCCAGAGTCAGAGGGTATTAATTTAATCAAATCAAAGATGAGTTTTTAAAATTAAATTAACATGCTTACTTGCTAGACTCCACTCTCTGAAACTGGCCATCAGTACAGCCTGTAAGATCCCAGTATGCAGCTCTCTAGCTTCTAGTGCTGATACACTAGTACTGACACCCTCAACAGGATGTGTACTATTCATTTTTCTCAGGTCTAGTTATTTTCCCAGATGCCTTTAGGTTTTCCAACAAAGGTTCACTCATTTTTACTTACCTTGTTATGTATTCCTTCATCTCAGCCACTGATGTTTCCAGAGACAAATCTGATGCTTTTCTAAAATACAGATAGGATTTAAGGTTAACAGAAATCTTGCAAGAGTACTTGCTTTTAACATGACACCTTACATGATTTTATGGCAATAAAACATGTTCAGAATTTATCTTTCAACAAATATTTATTCCTGGACTCTTTATCACTTTGCTCTAGGTAGTAGCTTTTTCAGTGTTCTCTTATTCTTCTGTTTCCCTCATCAATTCTAATTCAAACATGGCCAGATAACCTTTCTTAAAATATTCCATGAATTTTTTCCCTTGCTTAAAAACTCTGTGACACTCTACTGCATTCAGAATAAAAGTCAAAACTTCTTAATCTGGCATTTAACAGTGTTCCAGCTACATTCAGCTCATTAACTTTGATTCCTACTATTAGCTTTTTCCTATTCCAGCCCATATAATCCCATTCATCCTGACCCTCAAATATCTGGGGTTTTTGACCTCCAAACTTTTGTTTTCATTCCTTTTTAGTCTCTTCCCCTCCCACTAATCAAAATCTTAACATCTTCTAAGACCTAACAATACCTTTTCCTATGACCATCTTGTCTTCTCACTTAAACTGAAGCTATTAGTGGACAGGGATTATGTTTTACACCAATGGCTCAGCTCAGTTGGGTGATCAACCCTAATAGAAAATAAGCAGGGACTGAAAATGCCCTAATTTTGCAGATGTACTTAGTACTCTACCTGGCAAAGACAAATTAGTTGCGCCACCTTTCATGTTTTTCTACCAAGGCCTGTGACACACAGCCTCTATCACCACCTCTGGCTGAGATGCAATAGCTTGTGGCTTAAATACATATTATTATGTTGAGTCAAAATATTTTTCATTTCCTAAATAGTAATGTTAATTTTTAAGGATCTGCAGAAAAGCAGACCTTAATGAAGTCAAAATTAAAAGTTTATGATGTAAGCTCAAGTGACATTACTTGTTACACGGCAAAGGGTAGATGGTTGGGCCCTGCCCCTGTAGAGGAACTACAAGTTTAGAGATGGGATTTTAAATTTTCCCCTAATATTCTTGCCTGTCAGCAGCTAAAGAACATAAGTTTATCTCCAATTTGCATAGCTAGCAAAGATCTGAATGCTGCTTTTCCTCTTATCTTTCCTTGGTTGGCTTCTTCTAACCATTCATGTCTTACAGGTTTCAGTCCAAAGGTCAATTCATTAGGTCTTTGAACACTACCTAAAGTCGCCCATGCCCTCCAGCCACTATCAATTTATTAACTTCTTAGATTATCACTATCTGAAATAATTATTTTCCATATATTTGACTGTCTCTCCTATTAAAATGTGTAGTAGAGATCTTGTTTGACTTATTTATCACTATATTGCCAGTATCTAGGAGAGCCTGGTATGTAGAAGATGCTGGAAAAATATTTATTGAGTGGATAAACAACTGTCTAATCATAATGAAGTCTTAATCCAATTATAACTTAGGATGCAAGGGGAACTGTGCTTACCCTTTTGATTCTTCAAAACATTTTTGAAGAGTTCCATTACTTTGCAGTTTGTCTGTAAAATGTTTCAATTCTTCAGAAAGAGAAGATGCTACACAAGATAAAATTACATGTTATAAAATAGAATATTAATTTTCAGAGTGAGCTGCTGACAAAGACATAATCTGATCTCAGTTCTAGGAGCCCATTACATTCTGACCTTCTCACCCATTCAAAAAAGTGATATAAATATGCAGACTGATTTTCTTTTCTCTGTGGGAAGATAAAGGTAAAATGGAAGACAACTTCTCTTTTTGACATTTATGATACTGTTTTTTATACTTGGCTGGTGAAAAAGCAGTTCAAAAGGAATTCTTGCACTGACATTTCATGCTTTTTGAGAGATTTTAACTGCTTGCACTGAAAGAACACATTACATAAGTCAGGCAACAGGCAAGGGTATAATTAAAAATACTGGAAACAAAATTAAAAATTATGGCCATAAAAGGTAAAAACAGGTCTCTGCTTAGACTTGGAAGAGTCCACACTTACATTTAGGAGAGGAATACAGAGCTATCAAGGCATATCTACTCTATTCATGGTGATGGTCCAGGTCTGACAAAAACAATTTTAGCTGGCAGGTTAAGTCTGAGTTCTGTATTTCCTAGGTCTTTTAAGTGGGTAACATTGAGTATTTCTGACCCTGGATGATTGTATAGTTACCCTGTAAGGAAAACAGCTGCTTCCTAGAAAGTTGAAATTGATTCCTGGCAAAGAATATTTGTAACCTATACCACAGCCAAACAGCTAATTTTCTAAATATATAAAGAGGTGCAGATCAATAGAAGAGGTATAAAAATCAACATAAAAATCCAACATCCCAGTTTTCAAAAATCAACAAAGGATACAGACAATACACAGAGAATGAAGTACAAGTGGCTCTCAAAAAAAAAATGAAAAAATGATTATTCTCTTCAAAAGAAAAAGGAACTCTATAACTTTGAAACACCCTTATCAACTATCAAATAATAAGATTTGAATTATTTGATAAAACTGTTGGTAAGTGTGAGAAAACAGGTACTTGCATATATTGCTGGTGAGAGAAAATACAACCTTTCTGGAAGGCAATCTGGTCATTTTAATCATTTCATTTGACCTATTTAATTCTAATTCTATAAATTTCTTTTTTTTACTTATGTGTCAAAAAGGCTTTTGTAAGAAGATATTCATTACCCTATTCATCGTAACAGCAAGACTGAAAACAACCCTAAAAGCCCATAAATAAAGAACTAGTTAAATAAATATGGTACATTTATGAAATGGAATACCATGTGGCTCTGGAAATGTCAAAGCTCTCTATGTGCAATATGAAACAATCCCCAAGATAAATTATTAAGTCAAAAAAATAGTAGTTATTCATTTGATTATAATGTATAAATGATGTATGAATAATGTATAATGTATAAATGTTTGGAAACGCAGTAATACCCCTACTGCAATACACAAGAAGCTGCTGGCTGTGGTTGGCTCTGTGGAGAGGAGCCGAAACTAGGGTTTGGAGTGGGAGGCAGGCTTTTATACCTTACGAACTTCATAAGCATATATTATTTTTTAAATACAATTCCAAAAAATGCAAGGGGCTGGTTTTGTGAGGTAGCAGCTCCTATAAATGAGGATCTGATAGTGGGGCTTCAACTGATCTTAATAGAAGGCAAAGCCCAAGGTCAAAGCTCACTTATCTGTTCTTAACAACATACCTTTGGCTCTAAAACTTTCAAGACTGAAGCCCTCAGTGCCCCTTAGGAAAGGCTCAAGTTTCTGAACAGAGAACTAAATAAAGAAAAGCATTTTCAGTACAACCACCAAGATTTTTCAGGCAGTCCTGAGTTCATGTAATTGTATGATTTTTAATAAATGTGAAAGTAAATATGATTAAATTTTCATACCTAAGATTTTTCATATAAATTAATATATTAGGAAAAATCTCTTTGTGGCTCAGACTATACATACTGACTTTTGGTTCAGGAAAAAAATGATCATTTAATTTACACAAATGACTTATCAAAACTGATGTGATCACTAGTTAGCCATATAATACCTACTTAGTATACAGTCAGACCTCAAATGTCTGCTTTAACTTATATTTTGACCTCCACCCACTTTAAATTCCCATCATATGCTGCCTAAGGACAAAAGATACTAGGCTGGGGAAATCTCTGTTAGCTGCTTATTTAGCAGCGGAAGCACCAATGGGATTGATAGAGATTTTCCAGAGAGAAATAGATTTTTCCAGAGAGAAATCAGCTGCTAGGATTAAATCTGGCTTTTAAATTAATCCCAAATGGAGAGAAACATCTTTTAATCTTAACTGATGCATCACACAGCACTGATTTCTCTATGGGGCTGTCACAGTAAACAGTTAAAAAAAAGAAAAGCAAGCATTTCGGGGTACCAAGAATCTCACCTGGAAACTGGATAGCAGGAGAGAGCCAAGCCGTTTGCTTTCGGCTAAATTGACACTGATGGATCTGCTGAGCTCTAACATAAAATATCATCACATTTAAGGAACTGGATTCTTACAGAGTTAGCAAAATAAAAAAACTGAATAATCTCTTAATGCAGTCCAACTTAGGGCAAGAACTCTCAAGAAGTCTTCTCTTAATTAAAAGAATTCATATATAGTCACATCTAATTTTTTCAGGATCACCACGGAATTTACCCATGTGTGTATCCTAACTTCAAAAAGTTATAAGACCCTTTTATGTATTACATTAAAATCTTGTCTTATTCAACAAGGTAGATAAAAAATAATTTAATTTTTGGTGTTTTATATTCACCATCCAAAGAAAGGAGATGGGAACATTTGAGCATTTTCATGACAGGATCTAGTGTGCTTTAAATACATGTCTTAAGAGTCCTCGTATAAACCATAAACTCCATTTTACAGATGGGAAAACTGAAGCTCAGAGGGAAGATGACTTAAGCCAGACATTGGTGGAGTCAGAATTCAATTCCAAGTCTGTCACCAAATAATACCCATTAATACCATGTTGCCTCTCTGTCGTGATCTAATCACATGATAATTTGTTGAACACTTGCTATATAGAAAAGGTGTTTCATTAAATCTATACACACCTCATTAAAACCTGAGGCGAGTATCTTATCAATTCCATTTTACAGATGATGACAGAAGCACAAAGACTGGGTAATAGGTAAATTGCTCTAGGTCACATGGTTAGTCAGTCTGAACTGGATGGGCATTTTACATAACTACCATAATTATGAATCCTCAAACAACTGTAATATATAGACACTGTTTTTTCAATTATGTTCATCTAAAAACATCAATTATTACATAGCAAAGGAAGTTTGCTTTGAGAATTTGAGATACATGTCTTTTTGCCCTCCAGCTTCAGCTGTGTTTTTAAAATTGATTTATCTCCTCTCTTGATTACTTCTCACTGCTCTTAGTCAAGAAAAACAGGATACCTTCTGACTATAATCAAAGAAACCTAGTAAGAGGCCAAGAATAACTGGAACATAACCAATCTTATTATATCAGTGATTTTTTTGTTGGAATTTTAGATCCACATACTCTGGAACAGAGAAGAAAGGAGAGGTAGTCTTAGAGAACTACGGATGTTTTCTTGGTACAGACTGTAAAGTGCATTAGCATAATTGTGTCAGCAATCTTCTGATATGCTAAATGGCTATTTTTAACACAGATTTCCTTATAGACATAAGGCGATCTGAAGTAAGGTATTATTTAAAAAAAAATAATAGCTTAACATTTGAGCTATTTAACTATGTGCCAAATGACTGTTACATATCAATTCATTAATCCTCACATGACTGTGTAGAATAGGTATTATTTTATCTCATCCACCGATGAGGACCAATAAGGCAAAGGAGGTTTAAGTATTAAGTAACCTTCTCAAGGTCACACAGCCAGTAAGTCCTTCCTGAAATGTGTTAGACTGTACACATTAAATCCTATACTTCAGTGCTCACTGAGCCGCAATTATTATTGTAAACCCATACAAAATAACATAAACTGCATTCAAATTCAGCATGTTTAAAAATTTGGTTTCACTCTAGGTATTTTTATGTGCATCTTCCCTCTGAGAAACAGTTATAAAGCCTAAAATCAGGTGGCAACCCATCCAGCTTCTGTTCCACTTTAGGATATGAGGCAGAAAGCCTTAGGAGGAACTCTTTAATGCCTCTCATCCTAGCAGAAGTGTGTTGAACAAATGTAAATTAGAATTGCTATTCATGGAATAGATTACAAAGGGCGGTTAATAATATGACTTAAATATCAATAATACTGAACACTTACTAGGTGTTTGACATTAGTACTTAGAATATCCCACTTATTGGTGAGGTAACAGTCTCAGAAAGGTGAAGTTATCTGCTCAGTCACATAGCTAGTAAGTAGCAAAGTCAAGTCTATCCTGCTTTGCTTTCTGCCATACCTCACTGCCTCTTATCTGAGCTGGAACTCCACTGTCTTATGTACGTAGCACCCCACCTGTGACGCCCTGATGAAAGGGAGGCAGGGACTTCCGCCGGTTCATTCCCTTCATACTTGCTCGCCGCCAGGATTGCCTCCTGTCTTGATCATAGGCAGACTGTTCTTGGGGGGACAAATGAAGAAAGGACCTGGATTGAAGTCCTTCCTGATGGCTGAGATCACAACTTTCCCCCTTTTTAGGGCTAGAGCCAAGGTGAATTCGTTCCTTCAAAATGCCTTGAGTCATCTCAAGGGAGGCAGATGATTTACCACATACTTCCACAGGGTTGGGATCTGATGCTAGTTGAAGATCATGAGTCTTGGATGCCACTGGTTCCTCTTCTAGCACTTGTTATGAAAAAGTCAAAATATAAAATCAAACCCACCACAACTAAGTATCTGTGCAAAAAGGTGGGAAAAGAAAATGTATGCTCCCAGATCATGGAAACACTGAGGAAGTATCTCTGCAAATATGTGAATATGTGATTCCAAATTCACCAGGAGCCAGGAAAGTATTTAGGTATAGCTCAGAAACCTAAACCAAAGGCAAGAGGTACTGAATTTCACTATGATACTTACCTTCTATATTCTCTGATTTAGTCAGTGAAGTCATCCTGAGTGGTGAACCCTGGAAACAGGAAAATGAGGTGATCTTTTCTTTACATTTCAGCCCCAGTCTCACTGGGGCTTTATAATCCCAGAATAGGTCTTGTGCTTTCTAGCTGTTCTGAACTGCCCATCTCTGCCCCATGAAATCTACCTACCTGACAAGGCCCAGCCCAATCCCACCTCACCTATCTCCTCCACAGAGACCATCATTTCATCACCTGTTCTGAATTTCTACAGAACCAGAAATACTCACATCTCCCTTAACACATATTCTACCTTATTTTCTAATTATTTTGTGTTTAACTAGTCCCTAATTTCCCAATTTGGTTGATGGCATTATGATCGGCAGTCTTCCAAACAAATTAAATCACATCATTCTTTACTTATCCTTAACACTCCAAATTCAAAGTCCTGTCTGTTCCATCACCAACAGTCTCTCTAAATCTTTTCTCCAATTCCAGCTCCTCATTTAGTTCCATTCTCACAACTTCCACCTCTCCTCCTCCCTCAAAAGTCTAACAGCCTCTCCACTAGTTTTCCTACATCCAGCACTGCTCCTCTCCCATCCATTCTATAGACAGCAGCAGAGATTCTTCCAGCGTTTTTAACACTTCTCATAAACCAGCCCCACCCACCCATTCCTGCTCCCTCCTGCTACTCCCATTCCCTGTACTACTTTGAATCTTTGCACACATTTCCTGTAAAACTTACTCATTTTTCCCAACCTAGCTCAAATGTGAAGCTTTCACACCACTTCTCTTTGGGAGAGTTGGTTGCTCCACCTTTGGTCTCCCTAGCACTGGCTGTACAGTCCGTTCACACGTCTGTCTCCCCAGGTAGACTGTATTATTCCTAGTGCCTGTCACAGACAACTGACTGGAAGAGGGCAGGAACATGACTGAGGCAACTCTACACCTTCCAGGCTTACCCAACTCTCCCAGCAGATCTGTAATGGGCAGTGGGGGAGGACGAGGTACTTCCCTCAAAGAAATGGCTGTAAGTGGAGGGACAACACGGAAAAGGTAACAGAACGTCAGGTAGGTGAAGGATCTAAATCCCCACAGTTATGACTGTATCACAAATTCAAGGCTGGAAAATAACAACGACACATTTGTTAAACTGCCTGATAAGCGCTCATATGCTAGAACCTGTGTACGTCTGTAAACGCTTTGTCTACACCTCTATCTCATCATCCCACTTAATCCTTTCCACAGCTCTGTAAGTAGTGTCATTAGTTCCTCCTTGCAGAGCGGGGAGCTGAGGTTGGGAGGGGAAAAGCCGCGGCAAGCCTGTCACACAGTCTGGTACAGGCGAAACTCCAACCCAGGCCTGTGACCCCAGCCCTACGTCAGCCACTGTACGGAGTCTAGACCGCCGGCTCTGCAAACAGGCTCTGAGAGCCGTCCGCCTGTTTCCTCTCACCCGTAAGAGGCTGCAGAGCCCCGGAACGCCCCCTGTCCCTGCTGTTGGGGGGCGGTTATGGGACCGAATTGGGCTGAGAGGGGCCGCGTCCGGGAAGAGGTCTGTGACTTCCTGACCTCGGAGAGACGCCCGTCCAGCCCGGAGCCTCCGTCCCTGAAGTACAAGGCCGCAGGTCACTCTCCAAGGCCTCGGGTCATCCCTGGAACCCTGCGCCACCTCGGCCGCTTGTCTTGGTCCCCGACGGGTGCACCCTCCGCTGTTGGGGCCACCGCTGCCTAGCCCGAAACTCCCGCCAACCAACAGCGCATGCGCAGCCGACAGCCTCCTGGGTCTGCGCGCGCGCGACGGGCCTCCTTCCAGCGCATGCGCAACTGGTGTTCGACGTTCTTGCCAGTCCGGCCCTGCCCTATCTTTCCCGGCCAAGTTGTCACCTCCCCAGTTACCCCACGCCCGGTGAAGTCTCTTTTGGGGATGTGCCTCACCATCGTGTCCTTGAGTCAGACGGGCCCAGAGCCCATCTAAAAATAGGGAAACAGAGGTCCAGAGAGTTACTTGACAAAGGAATACCGTGCATCATGGGTCATCTTATGCCCGGCTCCGTTGATAGATTACGGCCCCCCCTGTCCCTTGTCCTATTAACTCCAAAAATGTGGACTGTGAATTCCCAAAGCAGACTGGAGCTCGGTGGCCAGTTTGCTTCATCCTATCCCACTCCTGCTTCAGCGCTTTTACTCCTGCGGCCCCTTCAATACATGGCAAAGGTCAAGAACTCTTTTGCAGCCTCATTGCAGGCCACTCCCCAACTGCTTACAACTCCTCTGTCCAGCCCCATGGCTTCTTGCCTCTGCTCTTTGCTTAAACAATTCCCTTTGCCTAGGAAGCTCATCCCTACTTTTTCCCCAAAAATTCTCCAATTTTAAGCCTCATTAGAGGATTCATCTCTCTCAGACCCTTCTCTGAGGCCCCAAACTGCTAACCAGATGCCCCTTCTGCATTGCTAGGAGCCCAGCCAGTGCCTTTTCCACTATCCCTTGATGGCCTGGGAGACCCCAGAGAGGAGGTTGCTTCCTCAGCACCCAACATGATGCCAGAAAAATGTCCCCTTGCATAACCAGTCCTTTCTTTCAGATATGAAACTTCCAAATGCTGATTATGAGCAGTCTGTGAAGCCTGAAAGAGGAGTTGGGGAGCAGCAGCTGAAAAGTGACTGTGGTTATCCTTCCATAGCAGCTGTGGTCCTTGGGAAAATTTTCTGGTGAAAGGTAGAAATCTGCCTTCCTAAAATTTCTACCCTGTGGTTCTAGTGTACTGGTCCCAACGGCCATTTGAAGCAGAGTTTGCTCTTGGTTCCCTGAATGTCACTTTTTTGAGGCACAGTGATACCCAGTTCCTTCTACACCTGCCCCCCTCCTTCAACTTCTCATTTGTCAATGCCCTGAGAACAGAACAGCGCCCACCAGGGCTGGCCATCCTGGAGCACAGTGAGAATATTGCTTCATGAAATCTAGACCCAATACCTCCTCTTTCCCTGCTTTCAGTTCTTTAATGCTCCCTACTGTCCAGAGGATGTAGACATCCCCTACCTCACAAGGCCCTGTGTGATCTGACCCAGCCTCTTCGTTTGGCTTTCCCCACTCCAGTGACATCAGATTTATTCAGTTCCCCAGTTCTGCTCTGCTTTCTTTCTGCCAGGAATTCGTGTATGCTGTTCTCTCTTCCTGGAAGCACCTCTCCACAGTTTCCTGCCTACAACACACCACTGTCCCCTTCATCTGATCAGCATCTCAGCCTTAGATGCCCGTTCAAGTGCCCCTTCCTCTGTGAAGCCTTTCTTAATTCCTCTCGGCTCCCTGAACACCCAGAGCTCTCCCCTGCCACCGACATTTGCTTTTCTGTGTTCCAAGCCCATCTATTGTACCCTCAGTGCTTAGCGCAGGCCAAGTTTTAGGCCCTCAAAAAAGACATTTGTAGAATTACAGATGATAGCCAGCTTCCTGGTGTTTATACTCTGTGCAGTCCTCTCCCACACAGAATAGGGCTGATTGATATAGCAAGTAAGATATTGCAGAAATGATAGTGTGTGATTTTTAAAGTTCAGTCATAAAAGACATTGTGACTTTTACCCTCCTTTCTCATAGATCTACTTGCTCTGGGAGAAGCCCGCCACCATGATGTGAGGATACTCAATCAGCCCTATGGAGAGGTTCATGTGGGGAGGAACTGAGGCCTCCTGCCAGCACTGACCTGCCAGGCATATAAGTGATATTCCAGCCTCAGTCAAGCCTTTACATAACTGCAGCCTGACTGACACTTGACTGCAACCTCATAAAGCCCTGAGTCAGAACTACCCAGCTCTCAAATTCTTGGTTCACAATATCTGTAATAAAATAAATGCTTTAGGATAATTAATCCTACTGTAATAGGTCATTAACCCATGTCTAAAGTGTCCTTTTTTTTTCCATGATAAAAGTTTTTTGCAGGTTCAATTCCATTTTTGAGCACTCTGCATTTGTTTCTCTGTGGTCATATCACACTTCACGGGAGACTCTGAGGTGTAAGCAGTCAACAGTTGGGACATCTGGTGGCCCCTCTCAAGTGACCCCAGATCAGCAAGCTGGCTGTAGCATTCTCAGGGGTCCCTCCTTCCCAGGCAACTGGGGGTAGGGTAGAGTCAGGATTCAGATCTGATCGGGACCCCACCCACCCTGCAAGAGAAATCAAAGAGGAGGCCAAGTCCAGGGAAACTGTTCATATGACATACTTTATTTCCAATCTACAACCATTAAAAACAATTTGTAAGTTTACACTGTACAGTTTTTCTCACGTCCAAAATAAGACACAGAGGCAGGGAAAGCTGGTGGATTGGACCAGTCATCCCAGCACCCAATCCATCCTGGGAAGGAGCCTTTTGAAGACAGGAGTGGGAAGAAGAGAACAGTGGACAGAAGAGGCAGACAGTTTGGCCCAAGGATGCCCTTGGTCCCTTCCCTCCCAAAGGCCTTTCCCTGGGGGTCCTCGGGGCCTTTGACTGCAGGACCCTCACCAAGAAACCAGGCTGGACAGGAAGGGGGCTTCACAGTATTGGTGGGGGTGGAAGAGGTGGGGCCAGGATGAGATTGAAGGACAGCTTCTGGCTCTTGTCCCCAGCCACTGGCGGTTGGAGCTGGTTTTTTTGGGCACTCTCTACAAGATCTCCTTGGAGGTGGGAGAAGGAGGAGGAGCTGGGGATTTAGGATTCTTTCCTTGTGGAGTTAGGTTCCTTCCCATCTGAAGAGAGGCCATGAGCCTATGGTGAGGTTCTCAAGGGTAAACGGTAAGGGTCTTTTGTCTCCTGCCTCCGGGACTCCCATCACCTGCCTGGTTGGCACAATCCACACAGCCTTTTGTACAACCCAGAGAAATAGGGGAAGTGATCAGAGCTGGAAACAAGCCAGGGGCAAGCAAAGGAAAAATGTCTGCCTGCTTCCTACCCTCTGGCTTCCAGGAAGAGGAGGACATGGTTTTGTTTGTTCTGTTTTGTTGTAGGGGGAGGGGATGACAGTTCCCGATCTCTCAGGAGTCCAGGTGGGATTGGGGCTTTCCCCCTGTTCCCCGACAGTCCCTTACCAGGCTGCACTAATTGCTAGTGTAGGTCAGCAGTTGGCAAACTCCTCTTATATTAGAATCACCTGGAGAGCTTGTGAAACCCGCATCTTGCTGAGTCCCACCCAGAAGCTTTAATTTCATAGGTCTGGTGGGGAGGAGCAATATTTTTCATTTCTATCAAGTTCCCACGTGTTGCTCCAGCTGCTTTGAGAACCTCCCAGCACCTCAGCCTCAGCAACCTGGTGCTCTGAGGCAGTGCCAGGGAGGGGGTATAGCCAGCAAGGCCTGGCCTGAGAGGCACCAAAGTACCTGGGAAACCGCTGGGAACAGTCTTGTGAACCTCACTGTGCAGAGAGGTGAACTAAGGCACAGAGATGAGAGGCAGAGCTGAGGGAGGAGCCAGGACTCCAGGGCCCAGTGGAGAAAGGACGGTGATGAAGGACCCCAAAACACAAGGGGTGCTCTGGGGCCCAAGGATCATCCTGGTGCTCATCGTAAGACCAGAGAACAGGGAGGCTCCCAGGACCAGCCCAGCTTGGAGAAGTTCAGAGATCTGCCCAGCCTTGGGCTGGGTGTCACCTCCCAGCTGAGGTTCGTCTCCACAGGGGCAGTGTGAGTGGGGCCAGAATAGGGGGTGACAAGGCAGCCATGCCCTGCCCGCCTCGGCTCTTCAAGGACGCCTAGAGAAAACCAGAGCTCCTTTCCTCAGGGCCCGGGATCCAGAGGGCTGGTGAAGGGCAGGGAGGGAAGCCAGTCTGATAGGATGGACGAGGGAGGGTCCAAGGCAGGTGAGGGAGGAGCGCTGGACAGGGACTCAGGCCCAGAATCATGTCCCGTTTGGTACTTGAGTCTGCGGATTCTCCAAACTGCAAACACTGTTGGGAGGGGTAAGGGGCAGAGCCAGGATGAGCAACGGGCTCTGCTAGGACAAGCTGTTCCAGCGGGGAGTGAGGCCCAGGGGAGAGCAGAGGATGGCGGCACGTCAAATGGACAGACAGACGGCGGGATGACCAGGGAGAGCATAACGCAAGCCAGGCTGTAATCAGCAGGACTGGGCAGGATGGAGGGACCCAGGAGGAGGGATGTAAGCCCTCTCTCCCCCACCCCATGGGAAGTGCTGGGATCCTGCCAGAAGCTGTGGACAGAGACAATGTGGCTCAAGGGTGGGTCAAGGGATGTGTTTCTGGGCTGGGGGCGTGCTGGGGCCAAGCACAATGAGAAGGGCTGGCAGAATTGATGCCGCCTGAGGTGTTGGGGAAAGGTGCCCCCTTTGGTGTGAGAAAACACAGACTAAATAAAACTGAACCCAGGAAACACCACCAGACATGAAAGCAAAGATTGGAGTTGGGGGACCACAGACACAGGCACCTCTGTGAGAGGAGGGAAATGCGAGCCTCAGGGGGCAGGTAGGGGCTGCTGGGGTTACAGAGAAGCACATGGGAGGGGAGCAGAGCTGGGGAGGCGGTTCTGGGAAGGCTGAGGGATGCTACACAGAAGCTCTGGGCCCAGAAGAGGAACACCTGGCCATGGGCCAGGGCCCCTCGGTCTGCTGGCAAGAACCAGCTAGAGGAAGATGGTAACAGAGGATGGGTGGGAGGTAGAGAGCCAACGGACTGAGCCCAGAGAGAAGAAGGGGCTCGACTAAGAGCACAGAATGGCAGGGTGGTGCCTCATTCACCACTGGGGCTGCAGAACCTGTAGGGAGTCAGGAAACACAGGTTCTGCTAGGCTCTGCCTCTAGTTTGCTGTGTGACCTTGGGTAAGTCAGTTCCTTCTCTGGGCCTGATTCTTCATCTAAAAAAGTAAGGGACAAATATTGTATGGTTCCACTTATATGAGTTACCCATAATAGACAAATTCATAGACAGAAAGTATAAAAGGGGTGACGAGTGGCTGTGGGGAAGAGGGAATGGGGAGTTAGTGTTTAGAGGGTACAGAGTATCAGCTTGGGGTGATGAGAAGTTCTGGAAATGGATAATAATGGCTGTACAACATTGTGAATGCTAAAATGGTTGAGTTTTATGTTAATGTATATTTAACCACAACTAAAAAAAAGCAAGGGGATTGGTTCATATTATCTTATGGCTCCCATTCGATTCACTGAAGTTGGTGAGGGGGATGAGGGAGGTGTCAGGCCCAGGGCCAGGGCACTGAGGACCTGACCTGGGGACAATGAGTGTGATCAGACCACTTTACATTTGTGTAGAACCTTATGCTTTTCCAAGTAGATATGCAGGCAGGCACCATATTGTACTTGGTCCCCACCACACCAATGTGAGGGAGGACATTCTCCCACACTATAGTGGAGGAAACTGAGGCATAGACTAGCCACCTCATCCTGGGTCCAAGGTCATTCAAGTTGGTGGCAGTTTTGTTTTTTTTTTAATAGTGACCTGGGAAACATCTTTGTATCTCAGGTTTACATTGCAACTGGACACATGCTCTAAATTAGTAGCATAAAAGTTTGTCACCTGGGACAAATATGCTTGCTTCCCATGGCTGGAAGAGAATTATGAAATCTCATGTGTTTCTCTTTTTATCGTGGCTTCCAGGAAACTCAAGAGTGAAATTTAATTGCATGATTATGGGAATTACATCAGACAGATCTGGGGAATGATAACTCTTCCTGCTTTTTTCTTTCTTTTTTTTCTGTTGTCTTATTGAACCTTACAGCTATGATTGGAAGTTGCCTCTGGTGCTTTCTGGAAATCCTCAGGGTAATTAAACCAAATCAGAACTGGGATGAGGACCAGGTCTCTTAATTCCAAGTTTAGTGCTCTTTTTTAAGACATAGCATTGTGATTATTGGTAAAGATGGCCTAACTGTTAGGGCTGTGAACAAAAACAATGTGGCCACTGGTGCTCAAGATTTCCCTGGGAGTTTGTTAGATACGCAGTTTGCGTGCCCAGAAGGCTGAGGTGGGACCCAAGAAATGGCAATGGAGCCCTCAGAGGATTCTGAAGCAGGGAGTCCCCAGATCACCTCTGGGATTCAGAGTGGACTAATGCCATGTCTAGGCAGGACAGTGGCATATTCTGGGTGTCCTGTACCCACACAAGCCCTAGTGGGGCAGTGGGTTTACACAGCAAGCAGGACAGAGTTGGGCTGGAGGACCCAGTGGGCCCAGGGTCTAGTCTAGACTCTATGACTTCCCACTTAGGTGACTCTGGTTGACGCCTGTACCTCAGTATCTTCATCTGCCAAACGCGAGCACTAACCTCTGTCCTGACAAGGCTTCCTCCCAGTCATCCCTGAGAGGCTTGAAGGAGATGTGGGACAGGAAAGCAACTTCTAAATAGTAAAGTGCTCTAGGTGGGGTGTGCAGGGGATTGTTGCAATTAATGAAGCAGAGTGGGAGCCTGGGGAGCTGGTGAGGCTGGAAGGGGGGCATTCTGGGACAGGGGGAGAGGGAGGAAGGGCCTTGAAATTGGATGGGCAAGAAGAGAACAGGCTGGGTGATGAAACTGGAAAAGATGCATGGGGCGGCCATGATGCATCCACGTGGTGCTCAGGGTACAGGAGGGTCATCTTCGGGCCCTTGACTTTGTCACTTGGGAGAGCAGCTGGTAGGGGAGGATCCCTGGGGAGGTCCAGGGGAGGCCCATTTTGAGTTTGTAGAAAGAAAAACCTCTTATAAGTGTGTTTTAAATTGGCCAACCTTTGGTGGGGTAATAACTGGGAGGAAAGAGTTGCCAAGGGGACAGGGAATTGGCCACTGATGCCTTGTGCATGCAGGATCTAGGAGCCACTGATAAGCCAAAGAGATCTGCTTTTCATTTCAAACATGGACATCACTGCCCCCAGGAGGGTCTAATTTGGCTCTGTGAAGTGGTCAGACATAAGAATTGTGAGTGGTCCAGTTTAGGGTCAGCCATGCTAACTGGTCCCTCATTTTCCTCCAACCAACTTGTGTCAACAGGATGAATCCAAGCTTTGTGGTCTATAGAGGGATTAGGACCCCAGGGTTCCTTGGGACTTTGGCTGAAGAGAGTGGAGATGGGAGGAAAGGAAGAAGGATGGAAGAGGGAGAAGGTGCCGGGAGAAAAAAGGCAGAGGATAGTAGGAAAGGAAAGAAAGGGAAGAAGGGTGGTGTTCCTTCCTGGGACCCCAGTCTCCAGAGGAATCCCCACTGTGGGTCAGGCAGTTTTCTGCTTTGGGAAAGTTACCAAGACTTAAAAAGCATTTGAAGAAACAAACAAACTGAGAAATCACATTCCGAAAGAGTAGAGAGTTTTTACAAACCAACCCCCCATCCCCCAAAAGAAAACATAACCAGTGACTAATTAAAATGCTAAAAATCAAACCAAACCAATATTTACATGTAACATTTTCAACCCCATCAAGTCCCGTGTCCAGAGGCTACTGTAGGAGCAGTTGAGTGGTCTTGCACAATGGCATGCAGGAAGTAGAGAATGGGACTTTACTGAGATACACGAGCTGGTGCCTCTGACACCAGCTTGGGGCCAGGTGGCCACGCACAGAGACAATGAGAATGGCAAGGACAACCCTGGACGAGGACAACGGTAAGGCTGAGCGGTCCGTAGGCCTTGGGGTTCAGGTCTCAAGGATGCCCCCCCAAGGCTAGGAGTATAGCCTCCTGGCCCTCTGAGACTCAGGGAGGTGGCAGAAGGCCTCTGGTGGCTTGTGGCCTGGTATGAATCCCCTCACCTAGAGATAGCGTTGGAGAAGACCCCTGCCCTTTAGGGTGGGAGCAGCAGCTTCCCAGGGGTACTGGCCCCATTGGCCTACCTGCTCCGCCCACACGAGTCACTATGGCATGAGGAAGTGGCTGGTCAGAGTGACATGACCCTCATGTCCTGCCCATAGGGAATAGAGATGAAAGACTTTGGGTAATTTGTCCAGGTGACCTTGAAAAGGCAGGACTAGAAGCAGGTGGGAGAGCAGAGTCATCTCCTGAGTCCTAGGGCAACCTAGCAAAGCTGCTGGTTTTTGGTCCTCCCGATGGGGAATTCCACAGACAAGCTGCTTCATCCTGGTGTTTCCACTCCGGGCCCCAGCCAGGTACTGCAGGGCCACACGTCTGCGTGTGTGCAATCAAAATGGTTCACTGGCACCAAGGAGGAGGCCATCTGAGGCCCTCCTCGCCACACTGTACCGAGCCATGCAGCAATCCGCCCGATGGCTCCGGCAGCTCACACGGCATGTGGGGAAGGGCAGGCCGTGAAGCTGGGACTGGGAGAAGAGCCAGAAGAGGCCATAAGGCTAAGGAGAGAAGCTGGTGAAAGGTTGGCAGGCTGGTGAGAACTGAGCAGGCTGGCAGACAATCTCAGATCCATGTGCAAAGCTGCAATAAACAACATTCTCGAAGTTCAGTCCTGTTTTCCTGCGAGTTCTCATAGGGAACTTGGAGATCTCCATGCTCTTGATTGAGCCTTAGTGATCTATCTATGTTTGACTCATTAAAAAGGTGTAGAGGGAGGGAGGAAAGTGAGGAGGGACATGGAGAATGTTTGGGAAATGATGACATCAGTCCAGCCCTCCACCCTGTCAGCAAGCATTTATAGGCTCACTGCTGGGGGCTGGCAAGTACCAGGTACTGGGTGAAAAACAGTGCTCTGAGGTCAAACGGTCGGTGGTATTGGGGGAGCAGGCTGCAAGGCTCCATCTCTACCAGGCGTGCCCCCGTCCAAACCTGACCAGGAGACCAGAGCTTGGCTGCTGAGCTGCCGCATCTGCATGGGGGACCCCACGCCTGTTCATTGTGTTAGAAGCCTCGCATTGTCCCAGTGGCAAGAATACATGTCTCAACCTCCAATAAATTACCTTAGGGACTTTGGGGTAAATTAAATTATTAAAATAAAGTAAAACCACCTTAAATATTTATAGCATGAAAAATTCAAATAAACAACGAAAGCAAGAAACATGTTTCCAGGCCGCAGTCTACTGCCATGTCCTAGGGCATGGGCTTGCTGGGGTCTCTGGCCAGGCCTGGCCAATGGGGTGTTTCTCATTGGGACTTTGCCCTCTGCCAGCCACAGGATATAAACACAGGGGAGATGTAGTGACCCTCCAGGTGCCAGAGAAAGAGGCCCCAGAGGTCAAGGCAGTAGGCATTTAGGTGTTGATCTGTGAACCAGGTCTTGAGACTGACTCTACCTATTTCTGTCTTCAAGGAGTCTCCTGGAAAGGTTGGAGTCCCCCAAGCCACCTTAGCAAGGGAGGCAGTTCTGGTGGCTCCCCGACCCTGAGCCCTGCACATTCTACCTTGTCCTCCAGTCCTTGCTGCATCCAGGCTACAGGCAGGAGGATCCAGGGCTCCAGGATTCCAAGCAGATGCCTGGTCCTGGCTACAGCCCTATCATACCCCCTAGAATCACAGCCCCCAGAGCAGCAGGGCTGGGAGCAGGGGCTGGTGGCGGGAAGGAACAGGCGGGGATGATGCCCAGTTCAGCTCCACCGGGAGCCCCAAGGTGAGCCTGAGAGCAAAGCCTGTTCTCCTCGGTGTTTCCTCCCCAGGAAGGGGGATGTAGTTGGCAGGGAACAACTGTGAGCCCTTTTCCCTGAGGGGCACGGCCAGAAGTATATCCTTTCCTTGGCTCTTCTGACCCAGGCATCAGCTCCCAAAGGATTTGCTCCCAAGGGATCTCTCTGGAGATGCTTCAGAAGCCCAGTTTTGCTCTTTCTCCCCTGGGAAGTCAGAGATCACCACCCGGCAGTCAGCAGGCAACCCCGCTTTACCTGGACAGGAAGCTGTTCTCTGGCAGTGGAGCAGCTGCTGCTCCCGAAGGTGACGTCAAGGGCAGAGTCCCTCACCTCATCTCCTCTCCGCTGGTTCCCTTCGGCTATCCAGGGACTGGGCTGGTTGATGTGGGGAGCACAGCTGCTTTGTCACTCGCTGGGCGGGGCTGCCCTCTCCTCCCCACCCCACCCGGGCTCTGAAGGGTGCAGCCTGCACTTGGAAGGAGAATGGCGGATGGCAGAGCGGGAAGGCCGGACAAAGCAGGTGAGAGACGGGGTGCTGCAGTCACAGACAGCATCCTAGGAGGAGGGAGAAGGAGGTCAGGAGGAGCCGGGAGGCATGCATGGGCCACCCAGGGCCCAGTTCCCTGGGGCTGCAAAGCTAACTTAAATGCATTCCTTTACTAATGTGTAAATAATGTCCAACTAAATCTGAAATTGGTATCAGGAGTAGGGTGTGCAGCAAAAGATTCTCAGAGAAAATGGAAGCACTTAAGCATAGAGTCTTGGTTGGGTAGGGGCAGTGGTATGCCAGTAAATGTTTAATAACTAGTTTTCCAGGAGTGAGGGGAAAAGCTCTGATTTGGAGCATCTGCCAATTTTCAGGGGTATAAATCTTCCCACTGCGGCCAATCTCAAGGTACTACGGTGAGGTCCCTGAACACAGAGATGCACACAATTGGCGTTCACAAACCAAGTGAGCTGGCTGTAGCACACAGCAGGTGGCAGGAGAACAATGAGATGCTGGCAACATCTGGTGTGTGGTGGCAAAGCAGCTAGTCAAGCCACGTTCGCTCATCTCTTGGTACTCAGACCATGCATCCATCAGGTCTGCTGTAGTCCAGGTCTGGGGCCTTCTAGCTCCCACCCCTGAGCAGCACGGAGACTTTTTGAAATATACAACCATATTCCTGAGTTTGAAAACCAAAAGAGTTTGGAACTTATAGGCCAACCCCACCTCCCAAGAAAAAGGGCAGAACCCACCAACCTACCTCACTGGGAAGGACCATGGCCCCATCTCCGTCCCGGGGGACACCATCCTTCCCCACCTGGGGAAGCACGGAGAGTCTGGCCTCCTCACTGCTGCCTGACTTGGCTGCCTTTTTGTTCAGGATCCTGGCCATTCCCTCTGGCTGATGGTAACTGGCTGGGGAGAGGGGCTCCAGCTTCCTGATGCTCTCCTCCCCTGCTGCCGAGGTGGGGCTCAGTACCCGGCCACACACGTCGCGGAAGAACTCCTGCACAATGCCGTACTTGGGAGGCTCGGGCTTGGCTCGCGCCTCCGACATGCCCAGTTTCCAGACAGACTCCGTGCTTCCTGAGTGCTCCACCACACTGAAGAGGCTGGACAGCCCATCGTTGATGTTCCTCAACACGGGGCTGTCCCGTGTGGTGGTGGAACGGGCCCAGGCCGAGCCATTCTGCTTGCCCTGGTGCAGGTTCCACAGGCTGCGGTCCTTGGCGCTGTCCAGCTTGGACACGGACCGCCTCTGGAGTTTCGGAGAGCCATACTTGGGTGAGCAGCATGGCCGCTCGATACGTGAGTGTACCTTGTCCAGGGAGGAGGAGATCTGCTTGCTGCGCACAGACACCAGCGAGGAGCTGCGGGGCGACCAGCTCTTGCTGTGGAGGCTGCTGCGGGGAGGGTCGGTCTGCAGGCCTACGCTGACAGTGCGGATGGTCTGTGTGCCCACACTGGCCAGGCCTACTGTCTGGCTGGACGTGCTTTTTACCTTCCTCTCCAGCGAGCCTGAGCGCATGGCCTGGCGCACGCAATTGGTGATCTCCTTCATGTCGTCACTCATGTTGCCCGACATCTCGAAGTCATGCAAGGCTGCTGGGAAGCCAGGCCCAGCTGCTGCAGTGCTGCCCCCTGAGCCCCCGTCCAGGCGCTGCCGTGAAAAGTTGCAGAGCCACCGGCTGTAGGAGCTCTCGGCCAGTCCATCGGCCTCAGCCGACTCTTTGGGCTTGGCTGTGGTGAAGAGGAAGCCTGGCTCAATGATGATCTTGCCCTCCCTATCATGGACCACAGGGACGCCCAGGCGCCGGGCCACTGGGGGGCTGTAGTAGACTCGGATGCCCGTCTTGTCCGGAGCTGTGTAGCTGCGCTGCATCTGCCTCCCTGCTGGCTCCTGGCAGCCCAGAGCACCCAGGCGGTTGCAGTCCCGGGGTGAGAGCCCTGGCTGTTCCTGGGCATCCTTCTCTGGGTCCACTGGCTGGGCACCCACAAAGGCAAAGGCAGGGTTGTTGGGCAGCTTCTTGCCCCGGGTGGCTTCACTGGCAAGGTATGGGGAACAGTCAAGCAAACTTTCAAACTCAGACATGGAGGAAACAGATTTGGTCCTGGGAAGAGTGGAGGGGAAGAGTGGTGTTAGCGGAGGAGAGCACACACTGAGCAGGCCCACTGGCTTCTCTCCTGGGCTGTGCATGGCACGAGGGCTGGGACCATGAACGCCCGCTCACAAGACCCTGCTGGTGTTCCATCCCTTCCCCACACACACCGACACACCCAACACCACACACTCTGGCCACCGGCCGTTCTCCACCCAAGGGCTTTTTTCTGACTGCAGGAGCACACTTGGCCTCTACGCAGAGGAAGCTAGAAATAACAGTTTATGTGCCTAGACGTAGCCCTCAATGAACAACGGGTGGGCTTTGGTGGCTCGGCACCCAACCTCCTTTTTCCTTGGGTGGGAGAACTCTGAGTCGCATATTCCACCCCAGCTCCCAGGCTGGAATTATTGCCCCAACCTTCCCAGCTCCTCAGCGAAACTGAGCTCCAGTTGTCTGTGGAATGATAACATGCCCTTCATTGGCTGCTTCCCCTTCCCTGCCTCACTTTCATATGCTTCCTAAAAATCCTCTCCCAATAAACCATTCGCTTTCAAACCCTTGAGTCAGGATCTCTCAGATGAGGCCTCAAACCACTGTCTTTGCATCTGAAGGAAACCAAATGAGGATGCCAGTGAATAATGGCTGGCCCCAGACCTGGCACACGTGCTGCCTGATGAGTGAAGGTGCCAGGCATACCTAAATGCACTTCACATGTCAGCCCATTGAGTCCTCTGCTGGCTCCAGGAGGTACTTCTATCATCCCCACTAGATAGAGATGCGAGGCGTCACCCAAGGCACAGAGCGAGAAATGGCAGAGCTGGAATTCCAAGCCTGTACTCTGACTCCGGAACCTACCTCCTGCCCTGGGATCCGCCTGGTTTCAGGCTGCTCTCCCAGCCCCTGTGGGGTCCTGCCGCCCTCACGCCTTTCATGGGTCTCCTAAGGGTGGAGACAGGGTCCTGAGAGCCCCAGGAGTCTCCCTGGCCACAGCACAGGGCAGGGCCCAGAGGAAGCTGCTCAATAATCCCAGGAATGGAAACCCAGCTTGCTGTGCTGTCTCTAGACACAGGAAGAAAGAACCCCAGGAGAAGCTAAACATTTCCCAGCTGGGATATGCAGGGGCCCCAGTTTTGCATGCCCAGAATCAAACAGTCAAAAAATTACAGGCTGGAATATTGCCCCAAGCTTCCCACCTCCCAGGTGGCCTGGGTTCCATAAAAAACCGTATCCCAGTGTTTTCCCAGCTTTGCTGAGACATGGGGCTTGAGGGAGAAGAGAGGCCAAGGGCAGGGCAGGCCCACAGAGTGGAGCTGGAGGAGAGGATGCCACACCTCTTCAGGCCAGTTCCCCCAAGCTCGGCTTCAGAACCGGCCTCCTTGTCATGGATCTTCTCACTTCGTGTCTGTTGAGGAAGAGAGACAGGAAGGGTCAGTTCTGGCCACCAGCACACTGAGGGAAGGTGACAGGAGGTCAGCATGGGAGCCGACCCTGAGTCTCCTCCTGCAGAGCAGGAGTGAGGTCCAGAATGCCCCTTGGTCAGTTTCTGGCTACTGTGCATCTTAACCATCCCCCATAGGTACGTGATTTAGGCTTGGCCAATCAGAGCTCCAAGAGAGAACCCCAAGGGAGGATCCATTTAAGACTTACTCTGAATGTGGTGGCAGCAAGAACTCAGGGGTTCCTGTTCATTTGGTGATGACAGAAGGGATCTGAAGGTTCCTGCTCTGGGCTCATCACACCTGGTTCCAGAGCAGGTCCCTGGGACATGCACCAGCTCTCTGAACTTGCATCACCAGCCCTCTTGAGTGCCTAATAAAATCTCTCCTGCCTCAGTTCCCCAGAATTGTTTTTTTGTGGCTTGCACTAAGCCTCCTGATGAACACACCACTTCCTCAGGCTATCATGAGCAAAGGGCCTGTGTGTTCACTGCCTGGCTGCTCAGTGTGTTGCTACATGAATGATGCACCTGAGACTTAGGCACAAACTTCACCAATGTGTCCTAATTGATCTCCACACCCAGGGCTGGGCTAAAGCACAGAATGTGACTCTCATTTTACCAATGAGGTAACTGGGGCCCGGAGAGGGAGAATGACTTATCCGAGATGGCACAGTTATTTAGAGGCCCTGCTTTTCAGAAAGAGACAACTGAAACAAAGAAAGGGTAAGGGGACGGGCTGAGAATACACAGAGAGACAGCCAGCCTTTCTCCCAGGCATGGAAGGATGGAGCTGGCAGAGGGCCCTTCTTAAGTCCTAAACCACAGGCTAGAACCAGGGGTAGAAACCCCAGGATTGAGGAGCCCCAGATGTGAAGGTGTAACCTGTGGAATAGGGTTGCATCCTTCTTGTCACATCCCCCAAACTGAGGTATTTTCAAGTGTAGCCAGAAGCCAAGAGAACATGGGTGGCCTGCTACCCACTCACCTCTTTCCAGCTGTTGTCTTGCTTCTCCAAGTCCGAGTGCTTCAAGGCCCAAGGGTCAGCAGCCTTCTGCAGCTGGGCAAGGGTAGAGAGGGTGGTCAGTGACAGACAAAGCTGGCAAGCAGAACCCTGCCCTGAGCAGGGTCACTCCTAGGCTCCACTCTGCAGCCCGGAGGACCCAGATCGTGGACTAGGAGCCATCTGCCCAGTGGGCAGCAGCTCTGAGTCACCAGATGGATTTGAAAATGACCATGAATGCAGCCACAGGCATCCTTACAGATGCCATTATACCTAGAACAGCAAGTTATTCTACTATATTAATTCATGCTACAATTCCTGGAACAGTTAGAATAGCTAATTGGCAGCTGAATCACATCAGAGTAGTGTCTCCACGCTAGCAATGCTAAGCAGCAAGTTCGGCTGAATGACACCAGCCTCTACACTCTGTCATGAACAACTCTCTATGAAAGAGGCAACGTGTAGGCAGTACGTACATTATGATTCTATTAATGAAGAAAAGAACCTCTGTGAATATAAATTTAAATAGCAAGGAAGGGAGGCAGTGGGTTGAACTATGCTTTTGTAATATTTAGGTCTTATATAAAGATGAAGTCCTGATTTACATGCTTAAAACTAAAACTAAAACAAATGAAAATGTCAAAGTAAAGAATGAAGCACGGCAGCTGTGTACATGATGAGAACTGTAGTGGTGCAACGATCAACGATAATTGTTCCAATCTCCCCTTGTTTGGTTAGAGGGCTCCGATTTTCCTAAGGGCAACCATTCTTGGTTCTTCCCTTTTGGTTCCTGGGTTTCCACAGGTTCCAGGGATAGGGACATGATTTACAACTAGCCAATCAAAGCTTTGTGTGGAAAAGAAAAATTCTCTGTTGCAAGTGCTAAGCTGTGAGCATATGAGCACAAAACTGACAGTGGCCATATCTGAGGACAGCTTGCTTAAGAAGAAGAGGAAAGTGAGAGATTGGCAAAGAGAAAGACCTAGTTCCTGCTGGGCACCTGGATCAAGCTATGCCTGAAGGAGGAACTACCCCTGGACTTTTCCTACAGTGATTCCCTGTTGTGGCCCGAGCCAGCTTGGGCTGGGACTGGCCTCACCTGGCTCAGACGGTTCTGCAGCTCCTTTACCTGCTGCTCCACTTGCTGCTTCTCACCCTGAAGCCGCTCCACCAGCTGCATTTTCTCCTGGCTCCAGTTGTGCTCGCTGATCTGCAGCTGCCGTGTCAGCTCCATGACAGCACTGTAGGACTCGGCCAGGAGGTGCTGCTGCTCCTCACGCTCTCTCTGCAGGGCTGCCTTCCAGTCTGGCCCTGACCGCTCTCCAGCCCCCTTCCCAGCCTTCAGCTCCACCTGCAGAAGGAGAAGCAAACAGGGTGGCTGGTGCCAGGAGGTCCCTCCTCTCTGTCCTCCTCCCTCCTCCCTCCTGGACATGGCAGGGACCAGGGGGAAAGAGCTCTCCATGAAGGATCTCCTCACTCAGAGCTAACCCCTCCTCACAACCAAGTCTTCTGTGGAGCTCTTTCTACTTGCCAAGCTGTGCTAAGGGCTTTTCAGACATCAGCTCAATATCCTCATAAAACTGAGCAAAATAATTACCATTTCTGATATTTTACAGAGGAGAAAGACGTTCAAAGAGGTTGTCCCAGAACACACAGCTATGAAATGGCAGAGGTTCCCAGTTACTGCTTCTCATGATATTTTATCAACTCTTACCATAGTATGGGTTTAAGCTGGTGTGGGACAGGCACACAGTCTGAATGTGTGCAGGAATCACTCCAGTGTGATGGCTTTTTCAGCCCCAAACCTTGAGGTGGCAGGAGACAAACGTGCAACCTCAAGAATCAGTATACCCCATCTCCCCCAGGCTGTGGTCCGGGATGTTACCCCCATAGGGCCGGTCAGGTTCTGGTTTTCAGGGCTGGTTTTCGGGTGGTGACAGGAGCTGTGGATGCTGTGCAGATAGGGCAGGAACAGTAAGATGTGTAGGGATGGTGAGGAGGGAAGAGCGGGGACACTGGGAAGCCAGAATTCTGTGAGCTTTGAGAAGACAGTGGGATCATGGCCATGGGGAGCCAGGAGAGGCAGAGGTCTGAGCAGCAAGGGTCAGGTCTGCCACTTATTAGCTGGGTGACTTTGGGAAAGAAACTTAACTTCTCTTTTGCTTGCTCTGTTACTTATCTGGCCAGGATGAGTAGCCAGTGCACGCACCTCCGCAGAGCCCGTGATGCGTGGAAAGGCAGCCCTGCAGTACGGGCAGGCTGGAGGAAGCTGGGACCTGCAGAGTCATGGCAGGTGTGTGTGCTGTGTAGGTCCGGGGACAGGGATCAGAACATTCTGAGTAAGAGGAAACCCGCACTCTCACTTTCAGACCAGAGGAGGGCAGCAACTTGCCTCCAGCCACATGGCAGAGAACAAACCTCCAGGGCTCATGGTTAAGGCGCCTTTGGTCATATTAGATTGTGGGGTGGGAGCAAAACAGATCCAGGTATCAGGGGTTAGGAGACCCTTATAGGGAGAGGAGGGAGCGAATGAGCACCGCAGGCAGCAGGAGTCGGTATGTGCGTGAAGGATGTCGCCAGGAACATTTAAGCATTCTGGCCTCCCCTGTGAGCCCATGGTGCAGCCAGGTGCCTGTGACCCCCCCATGCCCCTGTGTCAATCCCCCACCTTCCTTCCCCAGCCCAATAACTCCCAGTCACCACTGTTTCTGGTGCCCTTGTGTGAGTCCAGGCGAGTCTCGCTGTCTCTGGGCCTCAAGGTGAGGTGAGGGGGTTTCTATGAGCGTGGCCTGGGCATCCTGCTCCCAGGTCTGACAGCTGAGGGCCTGGCTGGGAAGGGGACAAGGTGGGAGACTCACCTGGGCGGTGTGGCCCTTGAGCTCTGCCCGCTCTGTCTCCCACGTGGCCTTGGCCTTGGCAAACTGCTGCTGCAGCTCAGTCAGACCGCGGCGTTCATCCCGGAGCAGCCAGCACAGCTCCTTCAGCGTCACCTTCATGTCGGCCAGTGTCTTGACGTACTCATTAGGCTGCAGATGTGGGCAAGACCCTGGTCAGGAGCTTTGGGCTGGGTGGGGAGCGAAGCCTGGGCTGGGAGTGCTCGCCCAGAGTGCCCATCCAGCCCCGGACTCTACTAGGCCTTGGACAAGACCGACGACCCCTTCAGGTCACCTCACCCATAAAATGGGCATGACAAACCCAGCCCCCCTGGCCACTCAATAGGTCAACACATGCCTCAGTCTCACATAAACACTAACCCTACAGTTACAGCAATTCAGCTTCTTCGAAGCTCTGCAGGGTCTAGCCCTGGGTCTTTTATCCTTGCCCAAGATCTGCCTCACCACGGGATAGATGGGGAGTCCAAGCCCTGGACCCTTCCTGACTGCTGACTTGGTCTCCATCTTCTCTCCTTGGCCCATGGCCTTTTCCCATCTATACTCAAGCTCACTGTGTGACCCTGGGAGCTCTCTACCCCATATGTAGACTTGAGGGTTTCTGACTAGATCACAAGGCAGATTTCATACAATTCCAGCCTGATATCCTTACTCCCACTATGTGCACTCCAAGCTGAAGCCAATCCAAGAATACCTTGTTACATCAGAGATGTATAGTATACACAAAATAGTATACACGTTTTTTTCCCCAGTCTCTACTGGTTTGAAATGGCCTTTTCCCTATGCTCTATTATGCAAGCTCCTATTCGTCCTTCAAAACCCACCACCTATGACCCCTCCTTTGTGGTACTATTCCCTATACTCCAAACAGAATTAATAGTTCTCTTGCCTTTGACCCCACAGTCCACCATCTGACCTATTGTCACTGCCCTGGGATGACCTATGAACCCCACAGCACAGAGCACCTGGGGCCAGGGACCAGGCAATAACCTCCTGCCACTTCAGTAGCCAGTTTAAGACAGATCAGAGAAGCTGGCAAGAAGTGATCACTAAACAAAGGAATAAATGGACAGGACAGGGACTGGGCTGAGAACGCACCGTGTTTTGGGTCCAGCTGTCCCCTGTGCAGGTTTTGTTATCAGAATGCTGGGCATTTAATTCTTCTTCTTCCATTAGCAGGTACAGCTCCTTCATGCTATTTACCTATTTTTAAAAAAACACACTCAGTGGGTAGATGGGAGGGTACCATGCCTGGGTGTCTGATCATCATGGGAGGGGATTCAGGTGAGTGGCCCAGACAGCAAGGGAATTGCACAGTCAGACAGGACTGTGGGCTTAGGGGGATTTTTGGTGCACAATGGACCAAAGGCACCCAGGCTCTGCCCTGATTTCAAAAACTTAACTTTGACCACTGGGTACCATTTAGGCCCAGGAGCAGAGTTGGAGAGTCAGGCCCTTCTCATTTCCCACACCATCTCTTTTGCCCCAAGGACCATGAATCATTCCCAAGAGCTGCCCAAAAATAACCATGTTGTCAGATTGGGTCAAAGTAGGCCCTTTGGTTGGAATAAAAGGGCCAGGGGGCACCCTCGTAATTATACATAAGGGCAACCAAAGGTTTGAGTGGACAGAAGGGAGACTGCTTGGGGTGGGGGTGGTGGGAGTTGTGGCTAATGGATTCTGGGAAGGAATCCAGAACCACCCAAGGAGTCCAGGGTACCAAGTGCAGGATGGCAATGAAGCAGAAGAAAGCCACCTCCTGACTGGGGTGCTCATTCATCATTCATTCATTCAACAAATATTTATCAAACACCTACCAAGCATCAGGCCCTGTGTTTGGTGGGCAAGACAGACAAAAACCCTGTCTCCTTTAGCTTCCATTCCAGTAGCAGAAACACAAACAAATAAGTGAAATGTATGAAATTAAATATTAGGACTGTCACATAGTAATAGATACTCTGGAGAAAAAGAGGGCAAGCAAAGAGCTAGGAAGTGCTGCAATGCGGATGATACTTGGGCAAAGTCCTGAAGGAGGTAAGGGAGTCAGTATGTGAATAGACACAGGTCAAGAATTCCAGGGAAAGGGCACAGCAAATGCAAAGGCCCTAAGATGGGAACATACCTGTTTAAGGAATTGTGAGAGAGCCAGGGGGGAAATAAGACAGATACAGGAAACAAGGCTGGTTGGCCAGGCTACCGTAGGGACTTTGGCTCCTATTGTGGGTAAAATGGGAGCCAGGGACAATTGTGAGCTGAGGAGGGACACTGGGCTGACTTTCAGATCACTGTGGCTGCTGTGTTGAGATAAATTGGAAGGGAGGAACAGAGGCCTGTATTGCAAAACTCCAGGGGACACCCTCCATGTGGAGGACATGCTGCCTGGTACACTTCTGAATGTAAGATGATTGGTGCAAGGAAGGGTGCAAGGGCAGACGCAGGAGAGACCAGTTAGGCAGCTATGGTGAAAATCCAGGGAAGAAGGGAAGATGGCTCAGATGGGAGGGGGCAGAGCGGCTGGGTCAGATTCTAGACAGACTCTGGGAAGGTTCGCAAGAAAGGCCATTTAAGCCATGTGCCTGGATAAGCTCCCCAAGAGGGAAAGTGTAGGTGCAAGAGAAACAAGGCACAAGTACGGAGCCCTAGGGACTCTGACAGGAAGACATCAGGTCAGGGAGAAAGGAGGGTCCAGCCAAGGAGACTGAGGAGGAGCAACCAGTGAGATGGAAGGCAAACCAAGGGAGTGTGGTGTCCTAGAAGCCAGGCATAGAATAGTTTCCAGTGTCAGGGCAGGCATGCAGGCTGCAAAGTATGTGGGGCTGGGGAGGACAGGGTCTGCATGAGTTGACACCCTAATTCCGTTCCTGGTCATGAGCATTTAAACACACAGGCTTTGGTTGTCTATATACACAGGTGCAGGATTCTTTCTCTGAAGTCCCTGGAGCCAGGTGTGCTCGGAATTCAGAATCAATCGGGAATTAGAAAGATAATATGGCCCTTACCCTGTATATTCTGCAATAGCCTGGCAGGGTCTGGCATAATGCTCTATGCTCAAGGACACTGATATTTCCCCTACAAACATATGAATATTAACATAAAATGGGATAAATAAAGGTTTCGCTGCCAAATTAATGTCAGGCCAATTTTTTCCAACTGAGTTAGACACACAAAAATTCCCAAGCCCTAGTAATCTGCACAGGGAGCACAGACACACATCACATGGTGAACTGGATATTAGAGAAACAGAAAAGTAAAATCTGAGACAAAGACTATGAGCGGATCCCCACAGCCAGCTCCCCTGGGACAAAAGAAAAGCTGGTGCTTTAAAAGTCTTAAAGGGACAAGGGTTTAACAGGTGGATAAAATCATCCTGGGACACTCAGCTCAGCAGGCTGGGAATCTTAAGGAACTTCAGGCGCCCTAACCCCCTGGGTGGCAAAGCAGCTCTGAAGCCCCTCACAGCAATAAGCAGCCTGCCATTCGTTCCCCCCCACCAGCACTGCAAGCAAACCAGCTGACCCGCGCCACTGCTGTGGAGCAGCCAGGGAGCAGCCCCGCCCACAGCAATCACAGAGTCTTCTTCTAGCGCACAGCTAACTGGGACAGACCAGGAGGCTGCTGCCTATGCACAGCTTCCTGGCACAGGCAGAGGAAGCTGGGGCAAGGTCCAGAGAGCACGAAGGGGTGCCATTCTCGCAGGAAAACACATCCAGCACACCTGCAACCCCCAGCAGTGCTCTAGGCTATCCCAAGGGCCATTCCACCCATGGCAGCTCAGGGGATTAACCCAGAGACGGCTCCCTGTGTGCAGGTAACCAGCACAGGCAGCGAAGAAGGGCAAGGCGACCAGCAAGCAGGAAGGGACTTTGTTCTTCCACCTGACACACACGCCACCTGCTGGCAATCACTTCTATAGCCATGAAAAGGCAGAATAATCTGGTCCAGTCAAAAATCACTCAAACAACCCCACAGAGGGAACCTGGTGAGATAGATAGAACCAATCATCCTGAAAAAGAATTCAAAATAAGAGGCATAACCATGCTGATGGGCCTGCAGAGAAATATGCAAGAGCTAAGGGATGAAGTCCAGAGGGAAATAACAGAAATGAAATAATCAATAGAAGGACTTAAGAGTAGACTGGACGAGGTATAAGAGACTATTAATGGAATAGAAATCAGAGAACAGGAATACAGAGAAGCTGAGGCAGAGAGAGATAAAAGGATCTCTAGGAATGAAAGAATATTAAGAGAATTGTGTGACAAAGCCAAATGGAACAATATCCGCATTATAGGGGTACCAGAAGAAGAGAAAGAAAAAGGGATAGAAAGTGTCTTTGAAGAAATAAATGCTGAAAACTTCCCCAA